ACGGAACAGCGGCCGCCAAAGGGCAATTTCGCTCCGCCGCCCGCCCGAGAGCCGAGGCTGTGGTACCGTTCCGGGTGCTATTTATAACGCACGGGATTATTGCCATGTTCATCTTGAATGAGTGGCTGTCTCTCACGTAAGGATAGATCTAAGCTAAATACAATGTATTCTACACGGCAATTTAACTGTGTCTTGAAACGGCACGTTCAGGTTTGGAATTCTGAGATAATAGCTTGCAATTAAATTCATTGAAAACTTTAATGAAAGAGCTTGTTTTTCTGGTTTTTAACACACAGCTTTAGGAGTTTTAGTGAATGCTCACAGTGCCTTGCGACGTAGAGAAGTACAGATTGTTCCCGTTTTGCAGCTGGAAGAACAAAGGCAAAACTGAAGAAACTTGCCTTAAAATGAGTGAATAAAAGAGCAGGAAGAGACACAAGATTCCCAGACCCGACTGTAGCCTCGTTTTTTCTTAAGACGTATTAAACTACAGAAATTGTCTGATTTAAAATAATTTCCTAAAAAAACCCCTAAACTTAAAATATTTGCGTATATGCGAGACAATCAGAAATATGGATAATCCAACCACTTGCTACCTGAGAAAAAAGCCACATTAGATATATAATTTTGAAGATTACAAATATTGCAAATTCTCAAGGGTCATTTAATCATCTACATGATATATGCAAAGTTTTGGGTTTTTTTCCCTAAGTTTCATTACATCAAAGTATTTATGAACTCATTCATCTTTGACGGCAATAAATGAGCATGAATCAAGAATAAGTATTTTCTCAAGTTCATTATTTGAGGTAAAAAGCACATATGAGGATATCATTAGTTGAAACCTTCTAGTGCTTATCACCTTTCTCCCCTCATTTGCACGGAGAGTTTGAGCTAGACTTCTGTTCTGATTTATGCTAGTATAAATTTTTGTTTGTTCCATACACATAAAAAAAGGTTCTACAGGAAGCAAATACTCTAGGTTTAGTTTTGCATAAATGGAGAGAAACTTCATAAAATCCAAGAGTAAAATTTGGTCTTGGATATTTTGTGATGTGACTAAAAGCATTATTAGCTAAACTGTAATATTGTCACATTTTTGCTCACAGAATGTGAGTTCATTAAATATCCAAGAATTTGAAAAATTGAGTAGACTTGACTAGTTGGTCATTTCTCTCTTGAGTCTACTGGGTATTATACAAAAATAGTTTGAAGTTCTCTGATCACCTGTGTCCCAGAATCATGTTTTCAAATACAGAATTTTACTTTCAGTCACACAGAGTATGAGGTCAACCCCCTTCCTAAGTAATGTTCTTCCAAGCCAGTGGCATATCCTGAGGAAAGGTTGAGTGAATGTCATTTTTGTGTGCGAGTATATATACTTTTTCTTTTTAAACTACTATAAAAATACCCATTGGGATAAAAATGGACATTTATGCAACAATGTTTGAAATATATGAGTAGTAGTATAAATCTAAAAATATATTTATTCTATATTTAATAAATAAATCTGCATTTTATTGCATATATTATTATGAAAAAATTGCCATTTCAAAAAAGAAAAGTAGTAGCATAAATCAGAATGAAACCAATTTGAAGGACTTTAAATTTCCATTTGAGTTTAAAATTGGGCCTCTCTATACAGCATATATTTAAAAATACATTATAAATATTATATGTTTTTTATGTCATTGAAAAAAACAACAAAACAAGCAGCATAGCTCCATCAGCTCTTTGAACAAAATTTGGAATAGCTCATGTATGTGCAAAACAAGTCTTTCCTGTAATTTATACATGCTTTTCCTTTCAAAAGACCTCTGAACGTAAGTTAGGAGCTTTCTCTACCCTTCTTTTGTAGTTCTGAGTAAATGGCAGGTTGCTGACAGAAACTCTGATGTGCCTGTCCACCGTTTATTTTGCTTTCAGTAAAGAAAAACAAAACGAAAAACAAGCCTTCCTCCTCCTCGTAGTGTAAAATAAAAGGTCACTGCTAAATCTTTACAGCATGATTTCTCTGACACGATCTAACGTACTTCAGTAACGAGCAGCGAGCTGTGATGTTCAGGGCTGCAGATGAATTTTGGCATTCTTGCTGCTTCGTTCATAAGGTTGTTCAAAAAGGTATGTTGCAAAATGCATCACTCGGTGTCAAAAGACCCAACAGTCTTTTTAGTGTGCAAACGTATATTTTCTGGCGGCCGATATGAAAGCGAGCTCATTTTTGTTGTTAGGCTTGGATGTGTGTTGACATTTGGTGGAATGTATTTTATTAGCTGAAGGAAGTATTTTTTAAAGTTTTTTCCAAAAAAGACATAAAAAAAGGGATTCAAACAGTTGTTAAAGTAAGCGATGCAAATTGTGAAGGGCATAGCTGTATCTACAATGTCAGTGATTCTGCAGTCTGTTATTACATGTAACTGAATTAACACATCCAAAAATGTGAACACTTGATGAGGAATCCACGAAAAGAAGAAGAAAAACACTATTGCCACAATCATCTTAAAAATATCATCATTTCTAGTCTTATTTTTTTGAATTTGATATGCCTTCTTCAGGGTCTTCCAAATTAAGGTGTAGCTTGTTAATATGATCAGAAAAGGAATTAAAAAGCCAAGCAAATTTTTTGATAAGCCTAACCCGACCCGGAGCGTTGTGTTATTGTTGTCATAACGAAAACCACAGACCGTCATGTTCAGGTTCTCAGCAAAGAATATATTACGGTGAATGATAACGGGCAAACTGGCCACGCCAGCAAGGAGCCAGATGACTATGCAAGTTATTCTGGCAACAAACACGGTCCGTCGAATTCGGGACTTCACTGGATGTACTATGGCCAGGTACCGGTCGATACTAAGGCATGTGAGGAGGAACACGCTGGCGTACAGGTTGAAACTTATCCCAGCCGATGCTAATTTACACAGACAGTTGCCGAAAGGCCACTGGTACTCCATGGCCGTGTAGGCTGCCCAGAGCGGCAGAGTTATTAAAAAACACAAGTCAGCAAGGGCCAGGTTTAGAAGAAAGATGCTGGCTACTGTTTTTAATTTCATGTAGCAGTAAATGACAATAACGACCAGGCTGTTCCCAAATATGCCTATGATAAAGATGATGCTGTAAACAGTTGGAACCATAATGTAGATGTAACTGTGCCTTCCTGAAACAGGACAGTCGACGTGGATTCTTTTAACAGTTTCTTCAGTAGAGTAATTTGGAATCATCTTGATCTCTTCAGTTGTAAAGTAGTTTCAGGCAGAAAATACAAAGTTCACACCTAGGACAGGAAAAGAAGAATAAAATATTCATGATGGGGATTTAATTTTTAAAAAGTTTCAATTAAATGTAAAGTTCTTCTGTCTAACACAACATGTCAATGTCACTGAATTTAAAAAGAAGTCATCTTTGAGTGCTTTCTCAACCAATTTCTATTTTATTGTCTGCAGAATAAAAGAGGCACGAATGTTAGGAGTTGGCTGAACATTAGTGAACATGCCATAAAAATGACAATAGAGAGTCAAAACTGTAAGTTCAGGAGAGTCTTCAGGTTATTTTCTTTCCATAAATAGGTGATACATCTAATGAGCAAAGTTATTCAGATATCTTAGAAACTACACTTAAACACTCTGACTCCTAGTTCATTCTATAAATACAAAGTGTAATGCATTAAGAAACTAAGTGAATTCAGACTAGGTACTCGTTTTGATATCTGTGAATCGCTAGAATTTTTTTTTTCTATATGTTAATTCTTTGAGACAATTTTTACATTACAGAGAAAGATGAAGACACAGAATCCAGTGTTCTGTTCTACCATAAATACCTTAAACATTCAGAAGTTACCTAGCTTCCCATCTGGTTTGGAACTATGGTATTTAACTACTACTGGGGAAAAAGAAATCTGTGAAAATCCAAACGTCGTGATTTGTTGCACATTAATAACTGCAGAAAGAGTTTAAGAAATGTGCAATGGGGAATGGCAATTGATATTACTTTTTCAGCTACTGACAACATTTCTGTATCCAGGAGCTGAAATTGTAGTCTTTGTGCACGAAAAATATTTCTGGGCTGAATGAAGTGTACGACAATGGTATGAAATATCCTTTACAGGGCACCTGTTTGGTTTGTCAGGGCTTGTGTGTTCTGCAAGAATGATTTCCTTTCTAATGACTTAGGACTTTAGGAAGCAGGTAATATAAGTGACTCTGATACTAAATGTTTTTCAGTCTACAAACAGATAGTCTCCCTCAAAAATTGTGAATATTGAAAAAAACCAACCAAACCCAACTGATAGTTGTTATTGCAGAGTAGTGTCTGCAGGATCCTGACACCTTCAGCCAAACCCAACTTGTGCTGCCTCAGACACACATTAAGTGAAACATATTGGCTTTAAAAAACCAAACCAATCAACCCCTCATAAATGTAAGTCACTTTTATATAGATAAATATACACAATCTAAGACCGGGACAGTATAGGTGCATTCAGAAAGCGAAGGTACATGTCATTATAGAAATATGGGCTGTGTGGTTACTCATTGTTTGCGTTGTTCAGCACTGATACTCCTGTTAAGTGCAGAAGGCTACTCTGTTAACTGTTAGACATGCTCGTGTCGGGAGGCACAAAACTTATTCCAAGTTGATTGTCTTTTTGAGACACAGGTATGTTTCAGCAAAGCCTATACAGAAAATCTGAAGTGGAGCCAGGAACCAAACCCAGAACATAGCCTGCAGGCAGCATCTTGTGAGCAAGGTCACCCTTTGGCTCTCAATGTATTAGCTTTAGAAGACTCTGTATTGCTCTATCTTAGCTCATGTTCTATTTTATGTTTACATTAATAAGCTGGGGTTTTTCACATAAAGCTAACAGGGAAATGCCAATATTTAGGTTCTTGATATTTTTATCAAGTTTGGAATATCTAGTTAAATGCAATTAATAAACCCTTTGTCAAGATGTGCCATGTGACACCTCCCTGGCTTTCTATTCTGGGAATCAGTCCTGTTGCCTCAGTTGGTACAGATGCCTCGAAATTTTTGCCCTGTTTAAGAAGTTAAAAACTCAAGCAATTAGAGCTGACACAAAGAACTGTATGGCATTCTGATCGAGTGTGGCATGACATACGTCCTGATCAAAACTTTCTGGCTTTCAACCTGTGCCAAATCTAGAATACATTGTGTTTGGCTCTGTGCAAGGTCACGTCATCCATAGGACAGGGAGAACGACAATAAAAAGATTTCAAGATAAATCTTCTTATCTCATTCCTTGGTTATGAAAGCGCCAAGGAGATTTGACAATAAATGGCAGGTTCTGCAACATCAAGGTCTGGCAGTATTTGCCCTGTCCCTGCTACACACTGGTGCCGCATGGTCTGCTCACTAGCATAGCCTTTGCTTACTTACCCACTGAGATTACAGCCCAAAATTTAGCAGTACGAAACTCTAGTGAAGTCTCTGTTAACAAAATCACCGCAAGTTAGATATGGATTGTCATATGTCTATCTGAAAACATTCTGAATGCTGCTGGGAGATGTCAGAGCCTTACATTTGAAGCTCAGCGAGGAAGGCACTGCTAATCGCAAAATGAGTTTTTAAATTTCTGTGAAATTCTAAAGCTTCAGAGCTAGCCATAAGTAGATCTGCTGCCTTGAGGACATCTGCAACTTTAGAGCATTAGGAAAAACTTCAATACAGGAGAAAAAATTCACCTGTTTTGGAAGGCATGGGCCTATTGCAGTGCTGAGTGGTGAGACAGGGCAGTGGTGTGACCGCCTTGCAGGCAATGTTTTCTTCTCCACATCATTGTCATTTTCGCTGTTACTCTCACTTGCCGCAGTTCACCTGCTTGTCCCAAGATCATGGGTACATCCATTTTATTTGAAGCAGATACTTCTGCATGAGAAGTACTACAGATTGTCTAAAAACATTACATAAATAGATGTCTGGTACAGCTTTATGCTGCCGGAACTCACCAAAGCAGGTTAAAGCACTGGTCAGTTAAATTCCAGTATTGAAATTGTGCACACTGATAATTGCATTTAAAGCTTCTCAAATGACCTGAGTTAACATAATGATAACTGGATCATTTTAAGGCTGATACACAAGGAGCTTTTTCTAAGAGGATTGAATTGATGTGACCGAATGGTGTGGCAACATCCATTTCAAAGCAAATTATCTGGTGAGCAGAAAACCCCTGTTGTATGTTACTGTCCTGTCTGACCTTTAATCTTTTTTAATTACAATAATTATAATAAGTCACTGATAATGAAATTCTTCAGACTGCTCCACCAACTATTATTTACTCCTCCATTCACCGCTTTTGCTGGGTGAATACGAATCCTAATTAAACTGCTGCCTGTGGAAGCAGGGAGGAACGCTGAGCCCATGCAAGGTAAACAGCACTCTGCACACTGCAAGATAAGAGGGCATGGACTGCGGCTACCTGCAGGAACTGCATCAGCTATAAACAGATAAGCAGATGTCACAAGTCAGATTTTTCAAAAAATGTGGTTTTGATATTTGCTTTAACAAAGACAAAATACGTGCAGGCTGACCAATCCTCTCACAGTTTGGCCACCTCACCATGAGGTAATGTGAGGCTTTTTTAATTCAGATGCTAGGTGGATTATTTGCTTTTCTTACAAATAAGACGTTATTTTCACATTTAAGAGGATGATGCATTCTATTTCTATATAAAAATATTGCACAGGGAGAAAAGAGGCTGAAAAATGTTTAGAACAATATATTCAATTATTATTCAATTAGCTATACTTGTTTTTTTTCTGGTGGCATAAGCTTTTGTCCCTGTATCTTGAGAGTTTAGTCCCCTCCCTTTCCTAATTTCTTCTATCTTTTTTTCCTAATTCACAGAATCACAGAATCACAGAATTGTTGAGGCTCAAAAAGACTGCTGAGATCACCAAGTCCAGCCTGTGACCCAGCACCATCACATCGGCCAGACCACGGCACTAAGTGCCACATCCAGCCTCTCCTTAAACACCTCCAGGGATGGTGACTGCACCCCTTCCCTGGGCAGTGAATCCCAGTGCCTGAGCATCCTCTCCGTGAGGAAGGGCTGCCTGAGATCCAACCTAAACCTTCCTTGATGCAGTTTCAGACCATAATTGCTGAGAAACTAATGACACTTTCCACATGCTTTATTTCACAGCCTTTTTTTTTTTTCTCTCTATCCAGCAGAACAACCACCTTTATCCTCATTGCCTTAATGAATAGAATTTCTTCTACTTCATATGCCTACTGCAGTGTCTCCTCTGCTTTCCTGGAGTTCCTGGGCAGTACCACCATGAAGCCATATATTTATCTTTCTTGTAGCTGTTATTTCTGCTTCTCCTTCTAACAGTCTGCATTTCCCACTCGCTGCTTTCTTAAGTATCTTTAGTCCAGAATTGTGGAGGGTGAGTGAAATGCAAACACTTGGGCAAATAAAGGCACATAATTTGGATTACTGTAGCCTTGCGGTGTGCATAGGCCTCTTGTTATCACCATTACTATCTTCCACAGAGGTCAGTGTCTGACTCCATGGGAAATGATAATAAATCAAAATATTACTGAAATGGAACTGCAGGAGGCAGTACAGGACCAGAACACTGTCTGTACTTCAGCTCATGAGCACCAAACGCAGAAAGCAAGCTTCTGAAGATCTGTATTAACAACTGTCAAGCTGGTTGTTGCTTTTGCAATTTTTGCATCAGGAGGTGGTCTGACACGAGAATAAACAGAATTTACAGGACCTTGTACTGGCCTGGGCATCTTTGTTTAACAGCTGTCCCCCTGGTCAGTCTGTCATGAAGCAATTGCCATTCTGTTGAAAGTGCTGTTAATTTTGTGGTGTTGCTTTTTTGTTTTAGAATATTTATCTTTTTAATTCTCAAATCTATATATTCATTATTTGTGCCTTCCACTTGCAAGAGTTGAAGCCAGTCTGCTTCATTTGTGCTAGCTCTATGTAGCTGGAAAACAAACTGCCTGTGATCTTTCTAGGATCTGTTTTTTCTATAACATCACAACTTTAAATTGCTTATTATTTATTTTGTGCTAGCACAGGACCAGTTATTGCTACCTTGTAAATGTGAACTGTTCATGTACTCTGACCTCCTCTGTAAGAACTTTTCGGTATTTATTTCCTCCAGCATACTTAAAAGGGTTTTGTCCTTCTGTATGATGGCTTCACAGTTTATTCTGAAAAGAGTGAACATCTCTCTTCTGTTTGTTTTCACAGAGTACTCTCATTAATTTTCCCTTCACTTTCCAAGTATCTTT